CTCCTCTCCTCTGCCACATCTATTCATCTCCGCCCCCTGCCTTTTATCCCCAGAGCTCAGGTGGGGCTTCGCTAGCAACAGTGGCTCTTCCGTCCCAAGGACCGGCCCATAGATTTCCACTGCTCTCCTCTCCTTCTGCCTTCTGCGCATCCGCACGTCAGGCACTGGACCCAGATGTTCCTCCTCATCTGCCACGTCCAGACCTGACTCTCCATCTGAGGGCTGACCAACAGCGCAGGCTCTCCCTCTGTCTCTCTCTCTGTCTCTCTGCCAACCCCATTCCCTCTTCCCCCTCGGAGCTCTCAGGTTGCCTTGATGTTGACTGACTCCCCCTCCTCTGATTGGGTTGCTGGAAGGGCCGACGGCATCTTTGAAAAGTTGCCTAGAAATCATTCGGGATGCCCTGATCCCCCCTTTGAGGGAAATGGGCGCTTCAGGAGCTTGCTATACAAATAAATAATATCCTTCTTGGCTTTTTCGTTCTCAGGGTAAAAGAGCTGAAGAGAGGGATGAAATCTTGCACCCCTCTGGCCAGCAGACCCCGGTCAACGGGACATACGTCTCCCAAGCGTATCCAGAATCCTCCTTACATCCAAGGGGGAGGGAAGAGCTCTCCCAAAAAAGTCAAGCTGGGGCTGCATCACCCTCTGATGCCCACCCCTTTGTCCAGGGTGAAGGCCTCTTGGCTCTTTCAACCAGCTGCCCTTCCTTTCTCCTCCACGCCAAAAGGACAGGGGCGCAAGGAACCATTGGGAGCTCCATGGGCCGGTTGGCCCGGCGCAGAAAGAGGGATGCCGAAGGCAGAGTCGTTATCCAAGAAGCCGGCCGAGGAACCTGCAGCAACCTCGGATAAAAGCTACCCCCGGAAGGACTCGGGGGCCAGGAGAGAAGGTGGCCAGGAGGACAGGCAGTGGGTCAAGTGTCCAAAGGTCGAACCGGTGCGAAAGCAACTGGTCTCCAGGGCTGATTTTTCCCATCCCGGCTCAGATGGCCTGTCGGATTCCGAAGAAGACCCCGGGAGACTCTTTGCGGATCAGTGCGTGGCCGCCTGGGCGGGGGCTTCGTCCCGCCAGAAAGACCGAGAGCAGCACCTGCGGCTTTACCACCAGCAGTTCCAGCAGCCTCCTCTCCTCCAGCAGAAACTGGACTACCAGCCCTTGGAAAGGTTTTTAGCTCGGTACAAATCCCAGGAGGTCCACGTGAGGCCAGAGGCCCCCTGCCCTGACTCCACCTCCCCTCAAGGCCGGGATGAGACCATGCAGCTGGAGGAACTCGACGACAGCGACTTCAGCGAGGACTCGTTCTCTCCCGGGCCCGGTCGGAAGAAGCCGGAGAGGGAAGCCGGAACGCAAAGCCACCAGAATTCCTTTTTCCTCCATCTGAGAGATTTCGGGGCTCGAGAACCACGGGACGGAGAAGGCGAGCAGGAGATGTTTTGCAAATGGTACGCATTTGAGAAGGAAGGGAGAGCTTTGCCGAGTGAGGAGGGGTCCAGCAGCTACGAGGAAGGCAGTAGAAGTTTATGCGATTGGAGCTCGGGAGAAGCGGTGGGATTTTCCCCCCACAGGGGCATCCCAGAGAAACCTTATTGCTCGAAGGAAGACGAGAAGATAAATCCTCAAGCGTTTCCCGTTGCGCAGAAGCCGCCCAGATCCTCGGATCCATCTCACGGTGGCCCCGATGGACACTTCTCCCCGCCAAGGAAGAGAGCACCAAGTCCGGGTCTCACTGCCCTCTTGCTGGAGCCTCCACGTCCAGAAAAAGCGGGCCTCCCCAAAGCTACAGACTTCCGTGGCGCTTTACACTTCCCCATGGACCTGGCTGATGACTCGGCGGCTCCTTTGTCCGTATCCTTCCTTAACTCGGGATCAGCAGACAGTCAAGGAAAGAAGAGGAACGATGGAGAAGGCGACGTCCTTGGACCCAGCAGGCCCTGGGAGGAAGACGCCAGGCACGTCCACGAAGGCAGGCCAGCCTCTGCTTCCAGCATCTACGAAATAAATCAGTGGGGGAGAAAAACGGAGCTGGATCTTTCTCCGGGGGCCGAATTCCAGTGGCTTCCTCAGTCTTGCGGCTGTCGAGGGGATGCGGACCTCTTGGAAGCCACATCAGCATTTGGCGAATGTCTTTGTGGCTACGCTAGTGAAGATCCTCCGGCTGAATTCCTTCCTCGGCAGGCGGAGGAAAGGGCCTCGCTTCGCGGAGACCTGCAAACAAGCGAATACTCAACCATCTATGACTCCAATCCTGAAGTGGAGAAGATTGCCGTTTCATGGAGCTACTCAGATCATCTGGGTCTGAGGGGGAAAGAGACCCCCGTGCTCTTGGCCCCGTCCAGCCCCCCGGTTGATAAGGGAGGAGAAACATCTGCTCCAAATGCTTTATCCGGTTCTGATAAGGCAGGAAACAAACAGCTCTCGGAACGAAGCCCCCCATCCCAGTCGGATTTCTCCCACGGGACGGAGCGGCTGCGGCTTTCGGAGGAAGCCTGCAGGGCGGAAGAAGCTCAGAATATGCCCAATTGTGAAGAGAGAGAGCAGGATTCGGGGGCTGAACCGAAGGGGCCGGTGGCTGAGACTGCAAAGAACTCGTGGAAGGCTTGTGGGCCGGTGGATTTGACTGAAGGTGNGCTGCTCCCTCCCTGAGTCAAGCATTTGTTTGGGCAGGTTTGGGAGGGGGGGATTTTGCCATGCTCTCCTTCTCCCCCGCCCCCCAGCTCTGTGAGACCCTCAATGCCCTCAGGTAAAAGTCACCTCCATCTTCCAGCCGTCCCACGCCTAGTGGCCATCTGGATGGGACCAGTTCCACCTCATGTTCCAACTCCTCCAGCCACTCTGCTCATCTTGAACCCGGTGCAGCCGAGGAGGGGTTGTTCTTGGGGGTCCAGACTCTTCCCGGTCGCTCCCGTGAGTTGACATTGAGTGCTCAGCTCCCACAGTGGACTAGAGCCTCCGGGTTGGCTGATAAAGCAGATCTCAGCTAATGTCAGGGCTGCCTCCGTTCAAAACCTCAGAAAGAAAGCCCCCCAACTCCATTTGTTTAGAGGAGAGGTACTTTCACGAAGTTTCAATCGACAGCAATGGAAGTGAGGCCAGATCTGAACCAACGCACGCGAATGTTACACATTGAAAGTCACCCCAAATCCCTCCATGGTCCAGCACTGAGCATCCAATCAAGGCCCAGTAAGCTGTTATGAGAAAGCTCCTGGGCAGGTCTTTCTCGCATCTGGCGTCTCAGGACAGTTGGCCTTGAACAACTGTATAAATAACTCCACTCAGCAGTGCCATAATTCATGACTGCAATAACTGCCTTGCAGTTCTCACGGGACTACCACACACCAGCTCGCTTCCCCATCCCAAATGTTTCCAACCCCAGCTGCGTGCTGATGGGCAGAGCCTTGCGTGATACGTTTTTTCTCTCTCTTCTGCCTCTCTAGCTGAAAGAATGCATCCGTGCGCTCGATCAGGAGCACGCTCACACCCCCTTCAGACAAAGCAAACTGACCCAGGTAGGTTGGCTGGAGGTTGGCTTTCCCCCCCCCCCCAAATTCTACGAACTTCTCTCCCCTCTCTCTCTCTCTTTCTCTCTTTTCCCAAAAATTTAAAACATAGAATAACCAAGAAGTACAACAGTTCATTTGCCGATGGTTCAAAGTTACAACGGCACTGAAAAAAGTGACTTAGGATAGTTGTAGCCGAGTCGGCCCTTGTTCCTTAGCTGTTCCCTTCTCCCGGCAACTCTGTGCATGTGATTTGATTGATTTGATTTGATTATATTTATATGCCGCCCTTTTCCCCCCGAAGGGGACTCAGGGTGGCTCACAATTCAAATCAGGGAAG